TGGATGGAGGGGTGGATGGAGGAATGGATGGAGGGGTAGATGGAGGAATGGATGGAGGAATGGATGGAGGGGTAGATGGAGGAATGGATGGAGGGGTGGATGGAGGGATGGATGGAGGGATGGATGGAGGGGTGGATGGAGGAATGGATGGAGGGGTAGATGGAGGAATGGATGGAGGGGTAGATGGAGGAATGGATGGAGGGGTGGATGGAGGGGTGGATGGAGGAATGGATGGAGGGGTGGATGGAGGGGTAGATGGAGGTGGTGGACAGAGGGCAGCTGACTCTCTAGGGAAGGGGAGAGGGGCTGGTGAGCACGGTGGCCTTCTATTGACTTTTCTGGGGCCATTGGGAAATGACACTCCCTTACTTCAAAGTATGTGTATGTGTAAGAGAGAGACAGAGACAGAGAGAGAGAGAAAGGGAGGGAGGCAGGGAGGCAGGGAGGCAGGGAGGGAGGGAGGCTGGGAGGGAGGGAGGCAGGGAGGCAGGGAGGCAGGCAGGGAGGCAGGCAGGGAGGCTGGGAAGGAGGCAGGGAGGGAGGGAGGCTGGGAAGGAGGGAGGCTGGGAGGGAGGCAGGCAGGGAGGCAGGGAGGGAGGCAGGGGATCAAACCCAGCGTCTCCCACGTGCGAGGCAAATGCTTTACCCTGGACACTCCATTTCTAACAGAAGCTCTTCCTCCATTGGGTTGTTCGGGACAAGCAGGCCGAGCGCCCTGGAAGGGTGACTGAGGGAGGGCCGCCCGCCCCTTTCCGCAGGGACCCTGGTGAAACAGCACAGGCAGAAGGGCTGTCTGTCTGGCTGCGTGCCGCTGTCTTTCTCCGCCACACTCGGCGAGCAGAGGACCTTTGAGTACAACAACCAATGCTGCCAAACTGACAAATGCAACAAGAACTTTCCGGGTAAGTGTCAACTTCGCTGTGTCTCCCTTCGCTCCTGTCTCCGTCCTGTGGCTTTTTTTCTCTAACTTGTGAGTGCCTGACTAGAACCTCTTTCTACTGCGGAGATGCTGGGGTTTTGCCTGCTAATTGCTTCTACTTTCACTGTCTGCTGGAAGGGTCAAGGTTGGATATAAACAAGCGTCTCTCCTGTTTGGGAGACCGCCTGACAGCGGAGTGGCAGGGCTGGTTCTCGGGGTTTTCTCTAATAGTGGGTGTATAGAGAGACTGAGTGTAGAGTGAAAGGCTTTGATCTGGCCAGGGGCCCGTGGCTCGTGCCTGTAATTCTAGCTACTTAGGAGTCTCTAACCTCTGAGAATTGTGGTTTGAAATTAGCCTGGGGAAGAAAAGTCTGTAAGACTCTTGGCTCCAATTAGTCCCCCAAAAGCTGGAAGTAGCGCTATGGTTCAAGGGGAACGAGTGTCAGCCTGGCTGGAAAAGCTAGGGGTGACCTCCTGGCCTGCGTTCAAAGCCCATTTTACAAACAGAGAAACAAATGCTTTGCTTTGCATCCCGCTGACATCTTCTTCCTCTATATAATTTCTCACACTGGCTTTTGGGGGGGGTATTTTTTGGTGGGGGATTGGCACTGGTCCTATACTTGAACTCAGGGCCTGGACACTGTCCTTGAGCTTTTCTGCTCAAGGCTAGTGCTCTACCTCTTGAGCCACAGTGCCACTTATGGCTTTTTGGTGGTTCATTGGAGACAAGAGTCTTACAGACTTTCCCACTCAGGCTGGCTTTGAACTGTGATCCTCATATCTCAGCCTCCTGAGTAGCTGGGATGATGGTGGGCTGCCGGGGTCTGTCACAGTGCCTTTGAGGCCCAGAGGTTTGCTCTTCGAAACTTCTGCCTCCTAGCAGATGTGCTTGCTGGCTGCAATGTCAGAATCTCATTTCCTGGCTCCACACTGGTTTTCCTTTGTTGAGGCCGGTCTCGCCACGTTTCCGGGCCGGTCTGACGCTGCTAGGCTTAAGTAACCTTAAGGCCCCATTCACCTCCTCGAGAGGCGGGACTGCAGGTGTGAGCCCTGAACACATTTTAGAGCATTCCTTTCGATCAGAAGTGACCCTTTTCCCCATTGTGTAGATAGCTTTCTTCCGCAAAGGTGAAGAGGGTCATTGGACAGAACCGCTGGATTTCTTTACGGCCCTTTTGCCCACCGATGCCATCACGGCTGTAAATTCTTTGGGAGGAATCACGACCCGGGGTGGAGGTGGGTAGTCATATTCCCAGCTATTTTTCGTGCCGAGGCCTCAGGGTGAAAACTGACCTCTCTTCATTCAGTGTTTCAGAAGTCCTCAGTCACCAATGGAGTTGAATGTCCTGCCTGCTACGCCGAGAGAGAGTCTTCCTGCGTCCCGGCTCCTCTGAAATGCACAGGGACAGAGAAAAGCTGTGTGGAGGTCACTGGCACAGGTACCAGTATTTTTTCCCAAGCATTGAGGTTCATCTTCTGAAAGGGCAGATCTAGGGCACAAGCCATCTGGTAGATAACGAACTAGTTACGTCAAAACTCCACCGCGTCCACCACCAGTCATTGGCCCCTCAGCACCTGTAGGTGTGGGCGTGGGCCCCCGTGGAGGGGCGGCTGGCCCGTGGTGTCTGTGGCTGCTGACTGCTGTCAGCTGTCAGCTGAGGCTGGTAATCTGAGGCTGGCCCGGGAGGGAACTTGGTCCGGAGTTGGGATGCCTGGGCACGTGGGATGTCACATGAGATTCAGAAGGGGAATGAAGCCACTGATGAGGACACAGTCTTTCACTCCAAATTACACGGGCAGCATAGAGTTTTCACAGTATTACTCCCCGGGGCCTTTGGAAGAAGGAGCCTTATCTTGAAAGGGAACGCTATACTATTTTCGATTGGTTTCCCCAAACAACGCAAATCTAAGGAAGAAGACAGGTATACCACACAAGAGTTTTAGCCAGACTCCAGAGCTTCTGCCTCCGTCGGCCACAGCTCTCCTCCCGAACACAGAGGCCCCAGGCTCAGTCCCTCCGTGAGGTCTCTCCTCTACCAGAGAGAACATGGCGACCGTCTGTTCCTGAGCCGGAGGCGCTCTGACCACAGGAGGTGACGTGAGCCGGGGGGAGCGGCAGGCGCAGAGACTCACTGCCGAGGCTTTTCTCTCTTTTTTTTTGGCAGGAACCGTAGGTGGTCAGACTTCCGTGGTATTTTTTGGAAAGGGCTGTGCAACTGAATCTGCCTGCAACCTGGAGGATGTCACTGTGATAGACTCAACACAAATACACACCACCTGTCCCAGGGCTGTGGACGCAAGCCCCCGACAGGCGTCCACCATCTCCTCAGTCCTGGCTGGTGTCTTCCTGCTGAAGCTCTTGCTTTAATTGTTCGGGCATTGGCATGATCCCATAATCCTACAGACCTGGACGTGTTGTAATTCTTGGATTGATTCTTTCTCCAATGGGAGAGAATTAAAAACAAACAAACCTGAAACTTGTCTAAGTCTGTATGGAGTTGCTTATTTATTTTACTTTAGGTTAAAAGAAATCCTTATTCATTCTCTAGAAGCTTCTTTTTCCTCCCCTGTTGTACATCTTAGAGTCTGAGAGGTATCTGTAAGAATCTCCGGGATTCAATTCCCATTAGAACCCACGTCTGCAGGCACACATCCCAGAGCACATCTCTTTTCTGATATTCTTCATTGCTGCTTCTAATCCTTACTCCCACGGCTAAGAAAATGTTTCTCCATGAGCAATTCAAGGCCCGGGGAGGCTGTAAAAGCCAGTTTGTTGAAGTTGCAGGTGCCGTGGAATCTACGTCCCCTATCTCAGACTCAGGAGTGTGGGCTTCTTGCTCTGTGCACTGGATACAGACAGAGGTTTTCTGTGAAGGTAGTTTTAAATACTAAGATTAAAGGATGAAAATACATAGTCCAAGATCCCAGGAAGCTGTGGCCGCCATGGCAGGGTTGGGAAGCACTCAGGCACCACCATACTTCACAGGCGTCTTTATGGTGCTGACTCCGCAGGAAACTCCGATCAAATGGCCGCCTTGATTCCCCCATATTCAGTTACACCAAAGGGGGCCCCAGAATGTGTTTTTCAAATGAGGGGTTGTAAGATCAGGATGTGTCTCTATTCAAATCAGGCCCTGCTGTGATTGTGCTAGTGGGTTTCCTTTTCCCTCCTTGGCCCAAGCCATACCGTATCTCAGAGCTCTCTTCGCTGTTCTTTGTGGCTAAGGGAAGCATTCTTCCCCGGGTCGGGTCCTTGGAACCATCAAACCACCATCTCGTATGCTCTCTCCACACCTGCGGATGGTGGGGTGTGGACTTGTGTTCCAGGACACACGGAGTCTCTGTATGGCAGAAAATGATCATCCATAAGTTGCTATTTGAAGGAAACCCTAAATAAAATAGTCATACCAAAAGAATGCTGAAGGTGTGAGCCATGTGCGGGTGGAAAGCAGCCTCTTGCTGCGTTAGTCTGCGTTGTACCAATCAGCTGTTTCAGCACATCCATTTCAACTGAGACATGTGAGCAGAGACCAGTCAAAAGGGTTTGATCATCCTTGGCGAATCCTGAAGTCCCAAAGGAGACCCTAAAAGTATGATGATACCCTAAAACAATCACAGCACCCTGAATTGATTTCTATCCTTTGCCTGAAAGTGGGATTTCTAAAGAGGGAGGGCTAACTGCACTTTGTGTGTGTGTGTGTGTGCATGCGTGCGTGCGTGTACGCATGCGTGCGTGTGCGTGCGTGTGCGTGTGTGTGTGTGCATGCGTGCGTGCGTGTACGCATGCGTGCGTGTGTGTGTGTGTGTGTGTGTGCGTGCTGTCCTGGGGCCTGAACCTAGGTGCTGTCCCCAAGGTTGAGCCACATCTCCACTTCCAACTTCTTGGTGGCTACTTGGAGGTAAGAATCTCGCAAACTTTTCTGTGTAGGCTGGCTTCAAACCATGATCCGCAGATCTCAGCTCCTGGGCAGCTAGAGTGCGTGTGCCTGGCTTCCCAGCAGCCTCTGAGATGGCGGGCTGGGCGTGTCTCTCTGGAGCTCCCTGGGAGGAATGGCTGCTGGTCACCCAGCAGCAAATAATGCTAATAATCTCTGCTCTGCTGCAGGCTGCTGGTCATCCAAGTGTTCCCTAAAATGCATGGACACAAACGGCTAAGTCCCTTCTGTGTTTGCTCCTAGTGTGTGAAATATGATTTCTGTTCCAAATGTGCAGTCATTATGACTCGTGGAAAGCTTCATTTTCAAGATGAATTCACATATCTATTTAGCAATAACACAACTAAGCTTCTCTTCTTTTTTTTCATAAAATTAGTTCATATTTTTTGTACTGTGTATTGGTAAGAAAATGTAAGTTACCACTTACCATGATACAACCAATATATTTAACCGAGTTTTTTTACTCTGACAGATGTGAAAGAGTAGAAAGTATTTAGGCCATTAACTTGGCTTGGGGAATCATGAACTGGCATTTCGTTATAAATTTGGAAGCCCTTTCAGAAAAAAAAAATAGTCATTTGTTCAGAATTACATTGCCTAAGTCATTTATAGCACTCTCTATCATTAGAGACCTCTGGCCCCTGAGTGTGACTGTTGGGGCGTTTAATTGAAGGCCTTTCCATGTGATGCAAAACAACCATTTCAGTCTTTTCCTCCCAGCTACACCGTTACTGTATTTTAACAAATAGCTAAAAATTAGAATCACCTGTGTTGTGCAGTTAGCGACAGAAACAAGGAACACAGTGGTGGTGCTGGCACCCTGACTGACGCCGAGGCCGGATCCTGAATTCCTGGCAGGGACCTGGGGTGAGCGTGAGCGTTCTACCTGAGCGTTCACACCAGGCAAGGCTAACGCGCACTTCGGGGGTTCGGGGGGTGGGGGGGCGGGGAGCACTAGCTGCTCATCTCCAGGCAACCCAAGAGAACAGCTTTCCAGCGAGCAGGCCGGCTCGGAGTCAGCGCCCCCCCCCCCCCGGCTCCCAGCACACTCTTCCAGCCAGCCTGGGCTGCCATTCGCTTTCTCCTCTCTCTGCTGTCAGCTGCTGCACTGTGACCTCTGCCTGAGTCTCCAGCCCCGCGTCTGAAACCTTCGCATTTCCCTGATCCAGTTCACCACCTCCCACTTCTACCACGTGGCCAAAGCAATGGCCTCATGCGCTTCTGCCTGTCCATGTGCTCACACGGATTTCGATGACTTGAAAGACAAGGACCTGACTTTACCCTGACCCACCTTTGCGAAGCAGAGCACACACAAGGAGTAAATAAAGGGGCAACTGACTAAACCCGTGGAGAAATCAGGAGTCGTTAACAAAACTGTAAACAAAGAAAGCAACTTCGTTTATAATTGGAAACAGCCGGGCCTTTGTTGGGGCTAATGAAGTAGCTTCTCCAGGACAAGGAGGAGGAAGCCGGCCGCGGGGTGCCCGGGGCTGGCCGCGTTTCTGACGGCTGATTTGCACACAGTGCTCCCATTGGTGACTGGAAGACCCATGTAAGAAGTTACTCTCCCACTGCAGAGGCCGATCGGTATGCACTTCTTCATTTCAACGACGATGCTGCTGTTATTACCTGCAAGAAGCCATACAGTAAGGCTTCCATTCTCCTCCTCCTCTTCCTCATCCATCCTTCTCCTCCTCCTTTATATTCCCCCTTTTCTCTGGCCTGTCGTAGGACATAAGTCAGCTATCCTCTTCAGTGACTTGCCCAATACTGATATCTCTAGCACAGGCAATGGGCTAGAATGTTTTCCTCCACACATGGGGCCTTCGAATACTTAAATTTCCTTATAATCTGTGTCAGTCAAATATTGGTATGCCTTCTAAGCATTATTAAAAGAACGTGTTTCTAACCCAAATTAGTATTTGGGGAATCTAGCATACGCTTTTAGAGATACTTTATGCCAATAGATACCAGAAATTGAAATACTTTGAGCATCTTGTATGCTATCAATACTCAAGAAGCTGGTGTATCTGTAACTCAGTTATGTACTTGTAATAAAAAGACATAAATCTATTCCCCCTTATTCCTGGTCTTGGTTGTCATTAAGAAATAGCAACGGCCATGGAAAGCTAGCACTTGGCCATGGTTGGGTTTCTGTTGTTGTTGGTTTTGGTTTGTTTTTGTTTTTTTTTTTTGCATTTTAAAGCGCCTTCATGTATGTTCTTTTACATGGCAGATAGTCTTTGCTCTCAATAATTTAATCTTTCCACCTCTTTCACTGCTATTCTAAAGCAAAACCAAATCATTATGTTTCATAAATGATAGCAGGCAGAAATGTAAGACGTCAGGAGATGAGGCAATGTGGCTAGGCCCCGCCATCACCTTCCTGATGATGCACTTCCGGGAGGCGGGTCCCCACCGTGAGCAGGAGAGATGGGCGTGGTGAAAATGCGGGGAGCAGCCCCGCCCCCACAGGACAGCCCACCCGGCCATGAGGGATCCCGCCTCCCTAAGCCCTGCTAACTTGTGTCTTTGTTTTACAAGTTTACGCTGACTTTTTTCAAAGCACAGCACGTTACTTTTTATGATCTTTCTGAAGCCTATTCATGGCCTCTCCCCAAAGCTTTTACTTTGAAATTTTAAAATCCAGGGCAAAAAGACCCTCCCTCCTACACAGAAATGGCTTTCAGAGGCCAAAGTCTCAGTCTGCCGAGACAGCATCTTTGAAGTCTGCCGATCAATGCACATATACATTCAGAAGTGAATGAGCAGGAGAAAGGAAAGGGCATGTCCCCAAGGGCAATGCACCTCCAGGTCACCGTGCCTAAGAGGTTGGGGCCAAAGCAGGCTTCTCCCGAACCTTAACACGCATCTGCCCTCTACCTCTTGGTGGCTGCAGAACGCCACGTTTAGAGCAGTACCTGTGTTTATGATGCCAAAGAACTCAACACACTTTATTTTATCTGCAGCACACCATCTGAGCTCCACATCACATTTCTTCCCCTGCACAGCCAGGCACGTCGGGCACCTGAAGCCACTGGAGCTGAATTCGTCAACGACCTTTTCCTCCAGGTCACTCAGTCTGAGCTCCCAGGAGACTGTCAAAAAAACAAAACCGGTTAAAAAACCTAAATAAACAACTTAACTATGTTAAAAATGCAAAATGTTTCTCCTACTAACAACTCTAATAAAATATAATAAAAATAAAACATCACTTAGACTTGTTTACAGTAACACACACACACACACACACACACACACACCAGAAAGTGGGCTCTGTTCTCAGAACAGTCTAGAAACAGACCATCTCATCCGCCTACTCCCCACCCTGGCAGCCCTCATAGAACTTTGTTTTCGGCAGTCTTGGAATTTCAACTCAGAGTTCAAACTTGCTAGACAGGGGCGCCACTACTTGAGCCAGGCACTTTATTTAGTGATTTTTTTTTCCTGATTGAGTCTGAGTCTAGCTTGCATTTTTCCCCTTGGAGCCATCCAATTTCAGACTCATAAGTAGCTGGAACGGCAGGCCT